AGGCTGTTGATCCACAAGTTGCGATAAGCCCAGATCATCCAGGGTGTCATACATGCATGTACCAGCAGGTGTATCAGGATCGGATGCTAGCCATTTCGAGAGGCGAGCGTTAAAGTCGCCAATGACAAATATGGAAGCTTGAGGACAAGATATTGATTGAATGCAGGTCCGGAGTGCGCTGCAGAACTGATCAGGTGGCTGCCAAGGAGGACGGTAACAACAGAACACAAACGTGGAGTTGGGGCGATGCTCTAGTTCTATGCACACAATTTCAATGGTTGGATCAGCAGGCTGAAGATCTGGACGATGTTTGGTAGTATGGGAAATGGAAGGGTGGAGGAGGAATGCTACTCCACCTCCACGTCGCACGGTATTGTTGTGACGGTCATGCCGGATAATTTTGTATTCAGCTGACGGTGTTATTATTGAACTTGTGATATCAGGAGTCAACCAGGTTTCAGTTATGCCCAAGATATCTAGTTGAGATGTGCAGAATAAGTTTTTAATCTCATCAGCCCGCTTCAGCCAGCTGCATGCGTTAACTGTGCAGATCCTGATACTCGACGGAGACTTCATATCAGGAATACAAGGTGAAACGTTGAAAGTCAAAGGGGACGGTTGGAATGGTGGAGCAAGAGGGTTCAGTGCGGTCACTTGCGATTGTCGGCCGGGAGAGAACGGGGCTGCATTTGGGTTAAGAGTAAAAGCGTGTGGTGATGTGGGAAAAAAGATGGGTGCGTGTGGATTCAACATCACAGTTTATGATTTCTTGGGGAGGGGTGGGTTCTTGAACTTCCATTCTCGTGCTGTTACATGCTCGGGCCAGAAATCGTTTTCCAGAACATTTCTTTCGTCATGCTCAGCAACTGTCAGATGTGCGTACAACGTGCCGTACACTGTTCTGGAGGGGATCAGTCTACAGCCAGTAACTTCCACATTCTTCTTTCTACAGTACGCAACAAGATCATCAGCACTGCAGTTGATATTGATGCCCCCAACGAATACAACTCTGCGTGCTATTTTCTTACCTCCACGCAGATCTGCGGGCTTCCTGTGGCGGTTGGCGGCTTCACGTACGATCGACCAGTCGTACTTGGTACTGACAGGCTTGTCAGTAGTACGACTGGCGTTGCTTGTTCGTGGTGTAGAGAGGGTACGACTAGCGTACGTCTCGGCCGGAGCTGCGGACTCAAGCCCTGTTGGTGCAGATGCGGGTACTGGTACACCCGTGGCGGGAATGTTTGCAGCTGCTCGGTACGAGTACTCATCCTGGAGGCTGTCGAGGGCGCGATTAGAGACATCGATGGGCTGGTGGTGTTGTGTCAGGGCGCGAAGCTCCTTCCTGAGTTCTGCAATGGCGGCATCTTTTCCTTTCTCCTTTTCGAGAGAGATTTTTCGTAGGTCGGAAACTTCTGCTACCAGGTTTCGGACCGTCTCCATTAGGTCAACCATCATCTTCGTTAGCGCAGTAGCATCAGTACTGGTACATTCACATCCTCCTGCCTGCTTTGTGACCCTGTGTGTGTCGATCTGATCGTCCAGTGGTTGCAACTTTCCCCTCAGGGCGCCTACCAATTGCACTCGGCTCAGGCCGGCCCATTTGACGTTATTGGCCTTTGCCAGTGACTCCAAGCCTTCACTATCCAAAATTCCGAAGTCAATGGACGCCATGCTCCCGGTTGGGGGAGCAAGACGTCAGACGTAAAAAACTCGCAACCACACTCGTCCGTGTGCGAGGCCAGTTATAACACAATGCACCATAACAACACAAGAAAGTACACCACAACAACATCCAGCTCAAGACCAAAGTAGACGCTGCGGCGAGGTGATCATGGTGATGCCCCCATCGCCATCGTTGCCGTTGCCTCCCCCAGAACCGCCACCTGCATCTGCCATCGGCAGTGCTGGGGCTGAGTCTGTGGTGTCGCTGGAACGGGCAAATATGGATGAGGTAAGCACTGAACATGAACAAGAAGAAAGAAGGCTGAAGGAAACGGAATTCAACAGAGAAAACAATACGATCAACATTCAAAGACCTAGACGATCAACGGCTAATTATTCAATGAATTATTACAGTACTGGATGTCAAGCACCGGTGAAGACACTGGGAACAGAAGATTTAGCAACAACAGGAACAACAACAATGACAACAACAACAATGGTAACAAATTACCATCAAGATCAAAGGAGGAGTCAACGAACAGAGGTTCAGCAACGTGAAGCGAGCCTGGGACCGATCGGTGGTGATGAGGAGAATGACACGGAGGACGACACTGAGGATGAGTTGGAAGATGAGACGGGGGACGAGGTTGCGGTTGGTGGAGACGAGGAATCGGATGGTGATTGTGATCGTAAGAAGTCTGCCGTTTTTCTTCATCTGTTGTCTCACCCTAAGTGTCTGCAGGTGTATGATGATTTTAGTTTTTCTGTTCTTTGTCGTGCACGGTACGCTAGTCAGTTGAAAGTACTTGAGGCTGTTTGTATTCGTTTGCATAAGCCTGATCTTTGTAAGCAGAAGAAACATGTAGTTGCGTTAAGATTGTTTTCGTAGGTGCACAGCATGATTGTTTGTCTCACTACATAGTTCTAGCGTTGCAATTAGTTCCTCACCCCTGTTGCACTTAGCTCTCACTTTACTTCTATTGTCTCACCTTCCCTCATTCTATTTGTAGCACTTTGTTTTGTTCTCGTAACACATTATTGAATGTAGATAAATTATTGATTTGGCATGGTTATTCTTCAGTCACGGCTTTTCACTGATGATTGTGACAAGAAAATCGATTTTGGTAAACCTTCATGACTTTGTTGTAGTGTGGCGATGACAGCAGAATTTGTTCTCTTTATAGCTATTATAAAATTGTTGTCTCCGCGTCGATTATTTCAGAAAATCACCGATCTTTTGGCCGAATTCTGAGATTTTACCACAGTGCAGCCGTGACATAATCACAGGTGTGCAACAGCCCCAATACACACATATGCACACACACATACATGTACATGTACATTGTACAATCATGTACACACATACACACATACACACCTGCGTGCACTTGCAAAACAAACATACAGTGTACTGTGACCAGGCATATGCGGATAATGCCGGCAGACAAATTGGCAGAATTCGGTACTTTTTCTGGTAAGTTTCATGCATGTTTGGTATGTGGATAAAGAAATGGAGCAGAATTCGAGGAATTGCCCGCCATAAGGTTTGTATGGTTCTGCCAATTTCACTGCTTTTCGAGCAGAATCTGCCACCTTTTCGAGCAGTAGAGAGGTTCTGCAAAACGAAAATGTGTACGAACTTTCGCTCTACGTCACGAAGTGAGAAACTTCGCACGAACTTTCGCAACTTTGGACGCGAAACTTGCAGGGAACGCGAAATGAACTTTCGTAGGAAGTTTCGTGAGATTGGGTCATGTCGTACGTGCACTTGGCGCGTGCAAACTACGAAAATGTGCAGAACACAAAGTTCGTGCGAAAATTCGTACACACTTTCGCAAGGCCTGTCGCGAAACTTCGTTCGAACTTTCGTTGTGCAGAACCTCTCTATTATCCGCACACCCCTAACTGTGACACGATCTGAAGCCAGCACATACGCGTGAGCCTAGAGCCCTCCGCATCACCAATAACACTTTTAACAGTTCTGAGGGATTACCGTCACACTCTGACGGAGAAGTACAAATCCCAGGTTATAACCTTACCAGATGTGACCGCGAAAACAGGACTGGAGGCGGTGTATGTATCTACTACAAATCATCACTTCCCATCACGCCACAGCCAAATCTCCGCCTAGACGGCGTGGAAGCCGTCTGGATACTGCTGCGATCGAAGTCCCAGAAGCACCTGTTCAGATGTGTATATCGTCCCCCGCAGGAGCCTGTCGCGTACTGGACTCTCCTGGCCTCTGCCTTCCATAGAGCGTCTCTGGTGACAACATCAATGACCGTTGTAGGAGACTTCAATGTGGACATGTTCCGAGGCCAGAGAATGGCGCAACGTCATCACCTTGAAGATGTCGCATCTGCTTACAGCCTCACAAACCACGTGCTGTCCCCGACAAGGATTACACCTCTCTGTCCCCAAGGTAGCACCATGGATTTAGTCCTTTCTACAGAGAACTCAGTGTCAAAGTGCACGGTTGTTCCGTCCACCATAAGTGACCACTTTACCGTCCGTGCTACTATGACCTTTGCTGTACAGACGAAGAAGTGCGTGCGTGCTCCACCAACACGTAAGCTGCACAAAATCGATATTCCGCTATTTCGCGAGGACCTTAAATATTGCTTTGCGCAAGACTTCCCCTCTGATGCCGATGTCGACACTTACTGGGAGTTCTGGCACGATCGGTTGATGACTGTGTGTTCAGACGGTAGTACGTAATATTTCTCTGGCATGGCATCACTAAGACTAGAAGTAATGGTTCCTTTTTTTATTATTGATAGCTGGAGCAGTCCTTTCTCTGTCTTGTGCCAATACTGCAATAGTGATTCATGTATCAAGGCCTGAGCTACACTGCAGGCTGTAGTCTTCCCTGTCTCTCTTGTGGTTTTCTATTCATGGGGGCGATCTACAAAGTGGCGTCATAACTATTTCCAACTGGCCGTTCATGTATTACATGCATCTACTTCTTAGCTGTGTGTTGTTGCTTGTTGCTGTGCATGGTCATACATTTGTATTGCAAAGTATCATGGCTAGCTTTCGTGCCGTACAACAGCGCGTGTGCGGTGGCTACGCCTCTGCTGTTTTGCCAGCTGACAGTGCGGCATAAATTACTTCATCTTTTGCCTTTTGTCTTCGGTTGTGTACCGACATGGAATGTTTTCGGTTTTAGTAGTTCCTTGGTTCGCGTTGTGTAGCTAGCTAGGCTGCTCTTTCAGGTGTAATTGTATTTGGAGTGAAAAGATAAGATAACGTGTTCCTTCGTGTGAACATTCTGGTAGCAGAGGATGGTTATCGCCTGAGTGAGCAGTTCAGTTTCGGAAATTTAAATTATTTAGATCATGTCGTCGCCGGAGCCTGAGAGTGAGAGCACAATCAGGGCTAGCAGTCAGAGAACTGAGCTCTTTTTAGGTGCCATGGCAGAGAGGGCAGGCGACGTGATCGAGGAGGACGAGGAAGTCGAAGAGGACGAACATGGTCAAAGTGACCAGCGATCGAATGAACTGATGTTCGTGAAAATGAAAGCTGAAAAAGCGAATCGCAAGAGAAAGTTCACCAGGTGTCGCAGAGCCGTGATCGTGGCCTTGCGTGACGGAGTTGAAGAGGAAGCTGCGAGGTCGTTGTTTGGCGAATTAGAAATGATCGAGGATGTCCTGAACGGTGTGTTCATGGACGTACTCGAGTGGGCTGGCGGCATGAACGATGCGCTCGCAGTGGCTAAAGTGACCGATGAGATGGAGGAAGCGGAGAAAGAGATGAAGGAGGTCACAAGGCTGTATCAGGAGTTCCTAGAACACCAGCCAGCGTGGACGGCTGCACGGAACAGCCACCCAGACAGGCCAGCGTATCATCAGTATGCCCAGGCACCAGTGGAAGAGCCAGGAAGTCCACTGAGTGTGATATCGCTGGGCAGAAGTGAAGGCTCCCAGGATCGGGATGAGCCTGGTGATGGCGTGGCGCTGGTTCAGGAGAACCAGGCAAGAGTAGAAGACAGTGATGAAGTGGTTGTGACCACAAGTGTCTCCGGCAGTAGTAACAGAGAGGCAGAGCTTGGGGCTAGAACAAGGCCACCAATGGAAACTGGGAGTAGGAGGTCAGAGCGTGAAAGAAGCCCTGCCTTGCCTGTACTACAGCCTGCTGTGCCAACACGGAGTGCTGTATGTGTGTCCAGTGCATATACTAGAGTGAGTGAGACCAAGGCCCCTCAACTTCAAGTCGCGAAGAGTCCAGGCCAGCAGGGCAGTAGTACTCAGGCTCCTGTGTCAGGACTACACCCTACATCATCTCTGCCATATCAGTCCGCCAACTATCTGTACACCCAGGCCAGTGGGCCACCACAGGTAGCCTCAAGTCATCAGGCCATGGGCATTGGTGCCTTTTCAGCATTGCCAGGAGCAGGTGTGTCCGCCAGCCACCAGCGTGCTGTGTCTCAGCCTCCACCTGTCAAGCAGCCATCAGATGAAATTTTCAAGCAACTGAAGGCTATACAGATCCCAGTCTTCGGCGGCGATAAGCAGGCGTATGCCTCATGGAAGGCTGCTTTCATGGCGTGTGTTGGTAGCTCGTCTGCAAGGGCAGACTTGAAACTGCTGCACCTCCGGCAGTATTTGAGTGGAGATGCCTTGGCTTCCATCGAGAGCTTGGGATACACCCCGTCTGCGTATGAGGCCGCAATGAGGCGGTTAGACCGCAAGTTTGGAGGCGACCAACGACAGCTGTCGCTGCAGTACGAGCAAGTCGAGGCCTGCCCAATCATTCGTTCCGGCCGAGCAGGAGATCTCCAGAAGTTCGCAGATCTCCTCGACGTACTCGTGGTCAACCTCCTCGACTCCGGAAAAGGCAATGAGCTGGGTGATGGGCTGTTGTACCGGAAGCTCCTGGCCAAGTTGCCGGCTGGGATGTTAACCCAATTCAATCGATGGTGTCATCAGAAGCCCTGCCAGCCAGGAATTCAAGCACTACTGGAGTGGGTGACGTTGGAAGCGGAGTTTGCCGTTGGAGCGTCCGAAGCACTAGATGGAGTTGGTGCGAAGGACAAGCCTCCGGCACCCCGAAATGCTCCTCAACGATCCTACTTCGGGGGAAAGGCTTCGCAGAATGCAGGGTGGTCAAGGCCTGCGGGCTCAGCGGCTGGACGATCTTCATGTCGGCAATGTGGCGGACCTCACGGTGTCTGGCAGTGTAAAGCATTTCAGCAGCTTTCCGTCGCCAATCGCTGGAGACAGGCTAAACAGCATGGTCTGTGCTACCGCTGCCTTGGAGGCGATCACCAAGGTCACCTCTGTCCACGAACCAGACCCTGCTCAGTGAGCGGCTGCAACAACAATCACCACTACTTGCTACACCGGGACTTGCTACACGAGGACAGCAGGGACCCCGATGCCGCACAGTCAAACAAGAAAAAATCGGGGAACACGGCAGCTGGAGGAATGACGGCGGACAAGTCCCAACTCAGTCCTGCCGAACAATTCTGCAACTATGGAGACAATGGTTCAGGTCAGGAGACAGGGGACCAGTTATTGCCTCCCGCCATCGACTGTTTAGTAACGCCGCCATACGCCGGTAAAGACCAAGAGCAGCGCACCCCACAGTCGTTCACCGAGGGGGAGACGGAGTCCACGAAGAGTGATTCCACCATGATGGTCCAAGGCCCGGGCAAGATAGCTCTGCGAACGGTCTCAGTCGTCTTGGAGAACGGCCACAAGTCAGTGCAAGTGAATGCGTTGCTGGACGACGGTAGCACGACGAGCTACCTCAACGGCAGCATTGCCAACCAGCTCGGCGTCAGCGGGGAGCTGAGGACATTCACAGTCCACACCTTGAATGGCAAGCAGACCTCATTCACAACCAGACCAGTAAGCTTCACCATTGGCAGCATGGATGGCAGTGTTCGGCAATCTATGACGGCGCTGACGGCTGATTCGGTCACCGGGAATCTTCGTCCGGTAGAGTGGGTCAAGGAAGCAGTCAAGTATCCTCATCTGAGAGAGATTCCGTTCGCAAGACTGGCGGAGCCCGCCAGGGTCGATCTGCTGATTGGGAGCGACTATGCTGAGCTGCTTGTGTCACAGCAGGAAGTGGTCGGCCCGCCTGGTCAACCAGTGGCGCGTCATACTCCACTGGGTTGGACCTGTGTTGGCAGAGTGACGGGAACCCACTCGAGTCAAAGGACGTTCCACAGCCAAGCGTTTCAGAGTGAGGAGAGAGCAACACCAACCGGCTTAGAGACCGCGCTACAGCAGTTCTGGCAAATTGACAGCTGCGGCACGGAGGAGAGCTTCAGTGAGCCCGGCCCGCGCTCGCTGGAGGAAGAGACAGCCCTAGACATCGTCAAACACTCGCTGAAGAAGGTGGACGGTCGGTACCAGGTGTCTCTGCCGTGGAACAATCGTAAGAGAGAATTATGCAACAACTTGGGTGCGGCTACGAAACGTCTAGGCCACACCGAGCGCAAGCTCCTGAAAGACCCATTCGTTGCCCAGGCTTATGGCCAAGTCTTCCAGGCCTACCAGAGGAACGGCTATATCCGGGAGCTCGCGAAGGAAGAGCTAGGTCAAGAGGTATGCTGGTACTTATCCCACTTTCCCATCGTCCGACCGCAGAAGACGACAACCAAGGTGCGGATCGTCTTTGACGCTGCAGCATCCTGTCATGGCCTCAGCCTCAACGATGCCATCTACCCTGGTCCGAAGCTCCAACGTGAGTTGTTCGATGTGTTGACCAGGTTTCGGCAAAAGCCTATAGCAGTGGGCTGTGACGTGACCGAAATGTATTTGCAGGTGTCGGTTGCGCCAGCAGACAGGAAGTACCTCAGATTCGTGTGGCGGGACCTGGATCCGGCCAAGCCTTTACGGCACTTTGAGTTCAACCGCCTGGTCTTTGGCGTCAATGCTGCACCATTCATCGCCCAGTACGTTGCTCAGCAGACAGCCCGGGAACATTTGGCGTCGCATCCCCTGGCAGCAGAAGCTATCCTCGCGTCCACCTACATGGATGACACGATGGACAGCACCAAAGATGTCGAACAAGGTCAGATTCTTCATCGGGAGCTAATGGATCTGTGGGGTGAGGCCAAGATGACGCCGCGCAAGTGGGTGTCCAACTCGCCCGAGCTCCTGAGGGTAATTCCAGCCGAGGCTCGCGCTACCCAGCTGGACTTATCCCAAGGAGAGCTACCATCCGTGAAGACGCTAGGAGTGTCATGGGACGGTCAGGCAGACTGCTTCTTCTTCAGCGTTCAACCGCCAGACCTCACCAACCAACGCATCACCAAGCGATTCCTCCTAGCAAAAGTCGCGTCCGTATTCGACCCGTTGGGGTTTCTGGCACCGTTCGTGACCCAAGCCAAGATCCTCATGCAAGAGAGTTGGGTAGCTGGTATTGACTGGGATGAACCGGTTCCAGATGGCATCGACACCAGCGCTCGCCAGTGGTTCAATGACCTGGCGAAGCTCAGTTTAGTTCGAGTACCAAGATGTCTCATCCCGGACGTGGCCAGTGGAGTGACGCTGCATGTTTTCTGTGATGCGTCGAGTGTGGCGTATGGTGCCGTGGTCTACAGCTCCACCGTGCAGCGTGGCTCTGAGGGAAACGTTCGTCTCGCTGGAGCCAAGAGCAGAGTGGCGCCGACAAGAACACAAAGTATCCCCCGGCTGGAGTTGCTGGCGGCTGTGCTTGGCCTTCAGCTGGCCCGGAAGTTCAGTCAGATCATGACCATTGCCATGTCAGAGGTGATTTTCTGGAGCGACAGTGCAACTGTGCTGCTCTGGATTCGCAGCTACAGCCGACGTTTCAAACCGTTTGTGGCGAATCGCATCAGCCACATCCAGACTGTTACGTCGCCCAGTCAATGGCGGTACGTTCCCTCCAGCGACAACCCAGCTGACTTGGCGTCACGGGGAGCTGGGGTAGAGCAACTGGTTGCAACTGAGCTGTGGTGGCAAGGACCGGCCTTCCTGCAGAAAGAAGAATCTGAATGGCCAGCCAAGATCGTGGGTGGCCAAGACCCAGCTGCTCGAGCGGAAGCTCGCAAGGCTGCACAGCCCGAGGTGATGTCCTTTATGTCCGAGAAAGTACCCAGCTTGTGCTCTCGGCGCTTCTCAGACTGGACGCGCTTAGTCAGAGTACGGGCTTGGGCAATTCGCTTCATCACCAACTGCCGTGGAGGTGAGGAGTTGAGCGGAGAGCTAACCGGCGAGGAGATGGACGCTGCCAGCCTTTCCATCATCAAAGAGGCACAGCACGAGGCATTCGCGGAGGATCTGAAGCTAGTGAAGAATGGTCAACCACTTCCGCTGAAGTCACGTTTGGCGAGGTTATCGCCTCGACTGGACGACGACGGACTATTGCGCTGCGATGGTCGCACCAAGCTGGCTGACTGGTTGCCGTTTGATGTGCGCTTCCCGATTCTTCTCCCCCGGAAACATCCGACCACCCGGCTTATTGTCAAAGATTGCCATGAGCAACGTCATCATGGCGGGACGAATGAAACGTTGGCAGCTCTCTCTGATCACTATCTTGTCGAAGCAGCACGGGAGGAGATCCGTGACTGGGAGAAAGACTGCATGGTGTGTCGACGACTAAAAGCCCGTGCGGGAGAGCAAATCATGGCCCCGTTGCCAGCAAAGCGATTGTGTGAGCCACTGAGAGCCTTCAGCAGGGTAGCCGTTGACTACGGAGGGCCGTTCGAAACTATGCAGGGGAGAGGAAAGACTCGCCACAAACGCTATCTGTGCCTCTTCACGTGTTTGCTGACTCGTGCGGTCCATTTGGAGATGGCGTACGCATTGGATGCAAATTCTTTCCTGAACGCCTTTAACCGGATGGCCAACCGACGAGGTTGTCCAATGGAGGTTCTGTCGGACAATGGAGGCAACTTCGTGAATGCCGACCGCCAGCTACGTGAGCTTGTTGGCCAACTGAACAATACCACCGTCCGGAAAGCCATGGCCTGCAGACGCGTGAAATGGAGTTTCAACCCGCCATTAGCTCCTCATTTCGGGGGAGTTCACGAGGCAATGATTCGAGCCGCCAAACGAGCTCTACACGCCATCCTTGGAGACGCATCTGTGACGGACGAGGAGTTGGTCACCGCTCTCAGCGGAGCAGAGTCCCTCGTCAACTCCAGGCCCATCACCTACCAATCGGCTAGTCCGAAGGATCCAGGGCCGCTAACTCCGAACCATTTCCTTCATGGCATGGCCGAGGGCCAGCTGGTTATTGCAACAACGGACGAGAAGGGGTGTCAACTGCAGAGACGTTGGAGATATGTTCAAATGCTCATCGACCATTTCTGGCATCGCTGGCTGAAAGAGTTTGTCCCACGGTTGAATCAGCGGATGAAGTGGCGACACCAGCGACGCGATCTGGCCGTTGACGACGTTGTCCTGGTGATGGATTCAAGCTCCCCGCGAGGGCGTTGGCCGCTCGGCAGAGTCACGGAAGTTTTCCCTGGTCCGGACGGACATGTGCGTGTGGTGGCCATGCAAGTGGGCGGGAAGACTCTGAAGAGATCCATCACTCGAGTCTGTCCACTGGAATGTTAGACGGCTCTCCCTACATGCCAGAATGGAGGTACTGCTCAGTGACGACCCCCACTAATGATTCATGCATTGTTTTTGGTTTTTTTTGTAGCTTCCTACCGCTGAACTTGCCCTTTCGATTCACTTTTCTCTTAGCTTGGTACTGGTAGTTGTAAGGATAGGCATCATGCAACATCTGGGTGCATATTGCGAGGGGGAGGATGTTCAGACGGTAGTACGTAATATTTCTCTGGCATGGCATCACTAAGACTAGAAGTAATGGTTCCTTTTTTATTATTGATAGCTGGAGCAGTCCTTTCTCTGTCTTGTGCCAATACTGCAATAGTGATTCATGTATCAAGGCCTGAGCTACACTGCAGGCTGTAGTCTTCCCTGTCTCTCTTGTGGTTTTCTATTCATGGGGGCGATCTACAAAGTGGCGTCATAACTATTTCCAACTGGCCGTTCATGTATTACATGCATCTACTTCTTAGCTGTGTGTTGTTGCTTGTTGCTGTGCATGGTCATACATTTGTATTGCAAAGTATCATGGCTAGCTTTCGTGCCGTACAACAGCGCGTGTGCGGTGGCTACGCCTCTGCTGTTTTGCCAGCTGACAGTGCGGCATAAATTACTTCATCTTTTGCCTTTTGTCTTCGGTTGTGTACCGACATGGAATGTTTTCGGTTTTAGTAGTTCCTTGGTTCGCGTTGTGTAGCTAGCTAGGCTGCTCTTTCAGGTGTAATTGTATTTGGAGTGAAAAGATAAGATAACGTGTTCCTTCGTGTGAACACTGTGTAACTGTTGGACACACACGCCCCGCTTGTACAAGGGGCAATGAAATCTGCAGAACCTGTGCCTTGGTCAAACCGCGACATTTATCAGTTGGACAAGAAGAAGAAAAGGTATCATCGCCTTTGGCTGGCCGACAAAGGAAATGTTCAACTCCACCAGCAGTACCGGAAGGTTCGAACTCAGGCAACGAACATGTATCGCCGTTGTAGGAATGAGTACTTCGCACGGCAATGCCAAGAACATTCCAGAAACCCCCGCCAGATTTGGAAAGTCATCAATACCGTCACCGGATGTAGGAAGCAGAAAACCGAACCAACCTGCAACATCGAAGAGGTAGCCAACGTGTTTCATGACATTGTGACGGATCCAAAGCGCCCATCATGCCTAGCCTCTCCCGTCGGCCCACTTCCATCGGATAGCCTGCACACATTCCAGCCAGCCTCTTGTTCCGTAATCTACCGTCTTCTAAGTCAAGTCAACCCTGCGAAAGCAACGGGCAGCGACGGTGTCCCGGGATTCCTCCTGAAGTCTTGTGCTGAGGTCCTCACACCATCTGTCACCACACTCTTCAACCTGTCACTGAAATCTGGTGCAGTGCCTGCCGGTTTCAAGTTGGCGGCTGTAAGCCCGCTGTTTAAGTCTGGGGATCCGTCTCAGCCGACAAACTATAGGCCAGTGTCGCTACTTCCGATTTTGTCAAAGTTGCTGGAAAAGCTGGTCCAGCGGCAGCTTGTACGGCACCTCGACCACACCGACGCTATCCCGGAAACTCAGTTTGCATTTCGCCGGCAGCACTCGACGGGTGATGCACTAGCCTTACTGGTTGATCAGCTGCAAATGGCTCGCGACAAGAAGGACTCCTCTGGAGTGTGCTTCCTTGACATGTCGAAGGCCTTCGACAAAGTGCGGCATGCAATTATGATCCAGGACTGCTTTGAAATTGGAGTTGGCGGTACGGTGATGAAATGGCTCGTTAGCTACCTTACAAACCGGACACAACAAGTCCGCATCGGTAGCGAACTGAGCAACATCACAGTATGCACAAGTGGAGTACCCCAGGGATCTGTATTGGGGCCCATCTTGTTCAATATATACACCCGAGCGGTAGCTGCAGTAGCTCACCCGACCCCTAGCATACAATTTGCTGACGATATTGCACTGTACCAAAGTGGTTCCAACACGGCAACTATTTCACTGGGACTCTCGTCATCCGTCACTGCGCTGGCCGACTGGCTCGAAAACCGCGGCCTGATATTGAATGAACGCAAAAGTCAAGTTCTGTCCATCTGTGGGAGGGATGCGCAAACCAGTATCGCTGTAAATTGCCATCAGATCCGCTTACCTGCTTGTACTGCGGCCAAGTACTTGGGTTTAACCGTCACCGAGCAACTGACCTGGGACCACCATATCCACGATGTTACAGCGAAGGTGAACAGGAAAGTCGGAGCATTGTGGCGAGCCCGGCGATCCATTTCCCAGAAGGCCAGGGTCAAATACCTAAAATCCGTTGTGATTCCCGACCTATTATATGGAAGTGTGGCCTATAGCACGTCCCTCTCAGCTTTCGCTCTAGGGAAACTCCAACGTCTTCAGAACCGTGCCATCCGCGCTGTGTTCAGCCTACCACCCACATCTTCGGTAAGCCACCAAAGGGAGAGCGTATCCCTCCGCAAAATCGAGGAGACACAACACCACGTACCGACTCCTCGATCTCATCTGGCGCGGCCTGAACGGCCAATGTAGTACAGCGCTTTCAAAGCAGCTGACGCAGTGTTGGGGTGTCCGGTACTGCCTTGGACTGGTTCGCCAGCTACCTATCCGGTCGCACTCAACGTGTCTGTCTGGGGTCGCGGACTAGCTCTATATCAGCTTGCACGAGTGGTGTCCCCCAAGGTTCGGTGCTGGGCCCCATTCTGTTCAGCCGTTACACCCGCGAGGTCCCCGCTGTAGTTGGCCAGTCCGAGTCAGTTCAATTCGCGGACGACATTGCGCTCGCGTGCAGCCGGCGAACAGCACAGGAGGTATCCGATGTCTTATCTGCTTCTGTTTCAATCCTTGCAGACTGGCTGAAGGATCGAGGCCTGATCCTCAATGCTGGCAAGAGCCAAGTCGTGCCAATTCCTGCCGGCCGTCAGCACACAGCGGATCTACAGGTCGTCTGCCATGACACTTCACTGCCTAGTGTGCCAAGTGCTCGTTATCTTGGCGCCACAATCGATTCCGGCATGTCCTGGCACGCCCACATTGCCAAATGTTCTGCACGCGTGTCGCAGAAGATCGGAGCACTCTGGCGAATGCGCCGCTGCCTGAATCACCAGTCACGCATGACCTACTTTAGATCGCTGATCATGTCTGACCTGCTGTATGCCTCAAACGCGTACTCTAGCTCACTGCAAAGAAGGTACCTTGACCGTCTACAGGTCCTGCAGAACAGCGGGGCTCGTGCTGTCTTTGGCCGCCCTCCGTGGTCGTCTGCCCGCGACCTGCTGGAGCGCATTGCAGTGTTCCGTGTGGCAGAAGTCTTCAATCAGAAGCTAGCATACCTGGTGTGGCGCTGTCGTTATGCACTGGCAAGTCCAGAGTTGCAAGCCCTGCTAACCCCCGCTGCACCCGGCCCTACTCCGCTCCAATCTGCCATGGGCCTGTGCGTGCCAGTTTCCCGTTCGGTTGCGGGGCGGGGGCGCTGTGCTTGCAAGGGTGCTGTATTATGGAATTCCCTCCCCAGCGACATCCGTGCCATCCATCACGCTCGGCAGTTTCGCACGCAGGTAATCCCCTATACCTGCGCCCTGTAGATGTCGACAAGCGAAATCTGATTTTTTTCTGTTCTCTTTCTGTTGTACCCGATCTCCCTCTGATGTACCGCTGACTCTACGTTGAAGATCAAAGTATTTGAATTCTCATTCTCATTATGATTTTCATATTCGCTTTCATGTTATTGGGTTCTATGCCCGTTTGAACTTGCGAATCAAAATAAATACAAACAAACAAACAAACAAACGCCCGCAACCACGGCCCCAACTCGACATCAGGCCAACGCCGGGCTCATTCTCCCGCTGGCCAGGACGAATACAGGCACTCGCCGACCGTTCTTCCGTGGACCTGCGCTGTGGAACACTCTGCCAGCCAGTGTACGTTCCTGCAAAGCCGTGGCCGATTTCGCAGCAGCCGTGTACCCGTACACTCTCAGGCCATAAACGTTTTTAAAAGAAGAGAAACAGTGGCATGCACCCCCCCCCCCCCCCCACACACACACGGACAGTATGTATAGGCATATAACGAACGGTCTTTTCCTGTTAGCTCTGTTTGTCCAATACATGAGATAAAACGTCTTTCTTGTTGTTTTTCCTTCTCCATGTAGCTGCTTCCAGCATGGTAAACGACAGTACCATGGCCTTTTCAGATTTTCATTGCACCTATTTGTAGTACCTCCCGGGATCAGTATTTTCCACTTGAAATAACATCCACCCCAATGCCTCATTCATAGCATTCTTTTATTCGCTTCCATGTAATTGGGCTTATTGCCCGTTTGGTATTGCGAATTCAAATAAAAAACAACAACAACACCCTGGCTGCTGTCTACAAATTCACACCTTCCATTTCTATAATTATTCAATAGCAATCTACACTTTCTGCGCTAATACCCTGGTACTGTAATAGCTCCCTCACCTAAGCAACCATCCACGCGGCCATCATGGCAATATTTTCTGTGCTGAATCAAACACCAACCAGCTATCGCTAGGCTATGCTTTATATTGGCCAAGTCCCACTGAGCATGTAATAGTCGCCTGATGATTGCATTGAGCAAGAAACTCCGAGTTGCGACAAAATCTGTAAAACTCCATTGTGCCATTTGTGTGCAATAGTGCTCCACTTTATTGTGTCGAGCCCTCTCCGCTAGCAGAAGGAAGTTTTCCTCCTGATAATTATAAATTTTATATTTATTACAACATCTCAAGACTCGGTGGAAACACAGGCCAATGTTAAAAGAGTGGGTGATTGCCAATCATGGCGATAAATAAAAGTAAGGGGAGGGAAAACGAAAGAGTAGCAAAATCAACAGCAACATCAACTATGCCTGAAACACACCAGAAAAAGTACCAAATTATGCCCATTTTCTGCCGGCAGTATCTACCAAAGGGCTGGGGGATAGGCATGGGCGGATAATGCTATATGTAGTTATTTGCTGCGATAATGCTAAAGGCAATGCTCATAATACAGTGCGGATC